TATATATATATATATATATATATATATCACTTGTGTGCAATAGATCTAAATCAAAGACAGAATTTTGGACCGGTCCAAAATGTAGAATCTGTACCTATGAAACACCAACTCCAACATGAAGACCAGAACATGGTTAGTGTCCTGTATTGGACACGCTATGTATATGTGTTTGAGGATAGATCAAGCTGCTCAGGGTATTCTAGTATTCTATCTAGAGTATCTAGTATTCTAGAAATTAACTATGTTGAATATAATAAAAATTAGGTATGAGATTAATTTTCCTTGTGTTGAATATACACATAGGATCATCTATTTATAATAAAATAAATATGGACTAAGCCCAAAATACAAATAAGAAATAATAACAAACTAGCTAAAAATAAAAGATAAATATAAAATAAAGAAAATATATTTAACACTCTCCTCAAGCTAGTACATACATATGTACCAAGCTTGTTATTAATATAATTCATCAAGTCTTAGTGAAAATATCTGCTTTTGCACTCGAGTGACACCAAATTGCTAATGATTTGCAAGAAGACGAAATACCAACCCAAAAGACTCTTCCTGAGCAACAAATCTAGGAGGTTCCTCCATATAAATCTCTTCTTGCAAATCTTCGTTGAGGAAGATCATCAATGGATAAAGAGGTAATTGTTGGAGAGCCACCACTGATGTAAATAAACTAACAAAAACCATCTTTTCCAAAAAATACATATATGAACGGGTCCAAAAAAACATATATGAACGGGTCAAACGCAATAGTGACAAAAGAGAGGTCAGAAGAGAAAAAAGAGAGCACATCCATAACTTCAAAAGGCGTTAAAAGCACGTAGGAGCTCTGATGAAGGCGTCACTAATGACATGGTGGTTGCTTGACCGAGACGATCCAAACCATGTGATCGTCGATCGAAACTTGAACTCCGATAGTAGCAGTGGTAAACGCCGGCGCCGTAGGCAGATGTAGTGGCAGAGGCCACCAAAAACTTTTTCCTCAAAAGAACTTTAGGCTCTAGATACCATGTTGAATATAATAAAAATTAGTTATGGAATTAATCTCTCTTGTGTTGAATATACATATAGGGTCCTCTATTTATAATAGAATAAATATTGGCTAAGTCCAAATATAAATAAGAAATAATAACAAACTGATTAAAGATAAAAGATAAATATAAAATAAAGATAATATATCTAACAAACTAAATCAAAAGCACTGGGGAGAAGCAAATAACCTGTGAAGGATTTAAATGTCTCCATGGTTGTTGAAGGGTGACTAGTTCCCACAAAATTACACCAAAGCTGAATACATCACACTTTTCGTTTGACAGTTCTCCTCTGATGACTTCGGGTGCCATCCATTCAGGCTGGCATGTCCAGAAAGAAAAAAAAAGGGAATAAATTATAATGTCAAATCATCAAATAATTGTAGTTAAGAAAAATTTAAAAAAACTTGACACATGAATGATTCAGTTAATAAGAAGAACTTACAGTCCCAGCTGCGGTTTTAGAAGAAAGAAATGTGTTTGCCTTTGTGCGTGAAAGACCAAAGTCACATACCTGAATTACATAATTCAAACATCAACGCTCAATTATCCGCACGCTCATATAGATCCATAAATGTACACGTGAGCCGTTAGTGAATGACTGCATGGGAAATTGCTAGCTTAAGCAAAACCATTCGTTTTTGGTAGGGTGGGGTTGTTAGTACAGCAGGCAATAGCAATTCAGGCACTGTTAAGCATTAATAATTAGGTTCGGCCAAATGGGGGAACAGTTAACATAACCCTAGCAGCCATCAATTGTCATGGCTAGATACATCCTAAAATTCGGCTAATAATTTATAGGCAGAAAAAGAAAAGGATGAGTTACAAAATCAGGGAGAGTCCTTTCTAATTTTATTTTATACATAACAAGAGAGTTTCTGCTGTTTCTCGCTAGGTCATAAAGGATGTTGTTGCTTTGATACTATTTTGAAAAAATAGGACCTTCAGATCGAGGAGAAAGAAAGGTGAACATAGACTGAATGATGTGCAATTGATATTGGTTTAATGTGATGATAAGATGACAAGCAAAAGACAGAAAACTAACCCTGTTTATATTAATTCTAAACTCCCAATCCTAATTAAATAAGGAAGCATGTCAAGACGTATAATGGAAGGGGAGAAAGAAAAGGTGGAATATATAGATACTGAACAATCTGAAATTGATATTGGTTTGATGTGATGATCCAAAAGAAAAGACAAGGCACTAATATTATTTATACTAAAGCGGATACACTATCATATTTCACTAGTGCCTAAGTGTCCGCATTGTTTTATTACACTACCATATTTTAAGGGTCAAAATTTAATACTTATATTAGTTTTAATTTTATATATTTATTTAAAAAAAGATGTATTATTATTTTCTATATTTTACTTGTAACCAATAATTTGAATCAAAAACAACATTGCAGGAGCAATAACAATTATAGTTTTGCATGAAAAAGGGAAAAAAATGTAATTGTGTTGTGAAGTAGTTTATCTGAGGTTATTTTAAATAGATGGATAGTTTATCTGCACTGTTTTTCTTTTTGATTGCTGTATACATAAATATGACAGCTTTGAGGTTCAAAATATTAAAAATTTAAAATATAATTAAGGGCAAAATAAGAAGATGAAATGTGTAAACAAAATTGGGGTATTGTATTATATATTGTTATAGATGTAAACGCAACATACTAATAGTTTTGCAGTTCAAAATATTAAAAACTAAATATAATTTAATTAAGGACAAGATAGGAACATGAAATATGTACACACAATCCCATTATATATTGGTATATATGTAGCAATAATAATTTTGAGGTTCAATATATTGAAAATTTAAAATCTAATTAAGGGCAAAATAGGAACATGAAATACATAATGAGGGTATCACATTATATATTGTTATGGATACATGCGTAACATGTAGTTTGAGGTTCAAAATAGTGAAAATTTAAAATATAATTAAACATAAATATGAATATGAATTGTGTGCACAAGGTGGGAGTGTCTCATTATATATTGTTATAGATGATAAACTCCCAATCCTAACTAAATAAGCATCGTGCGAAATATCAAAATATACCCATGATATCATGTAAGATTAACATAATTTACGGTACAACAATAACATGATAACATTTTTCAAATACTCCAACAAAATAAACAGTTACCTTAACAGTGTATGAATCATCAACCAAAAGATTTGGAGACTTCAAATCTCTATGAACAATGGGGGGTCTCATTTGATGAAGATAATTCATTCCGCTTGCCTAGACAAACATATGAACATTTAGGTATGCATAATGCCTAAAAAGATATAAATAGTAAAACTATTAAAAGTTTTAATCATCAAAGTTATACCACATCATAAGCCATTTTTAAGCGACACCTCTCACTAAGTGATGATCCAACATTGGGCATGTGCAGAAGTTCATACAAACTGCCTCTGCAATTCAAGGAAATAATTAGCATAAGAATATCACACTCAACCCAAATTTTCTCCAATTATAAACATAAGCAAGGAGCACAGTTTTCATTGTTAAAGGAAAACTTTTGTACCTAGATAAATACTCTGTTACAATTGATAACTTAGGGGGTTGAATAACTGCACCCATCAAGAGTACAATATTTGGATGCCGTAGGCGCTTCATGAGTGAGACCTATGAAATAAACTGGGAATGATTAGCAATCTACATGGAAAAAAAATTATATGTACAAAACTAACGTAAAATTGTTCCTGAGCCTCATTCGAAAATATAAAAATGAACATGAAAATACAAATTAAAACCAGCAATAATGGATACCTCCTTTAGAAATTCTTCAAATCGCCCAGGATCAAAACCTTGCACTTTAAGAATTTTCACTGCAACATCCTAAGATATTAGATAGTTAACATTTAGTGATTGGATTGTGATTGACCCCCACACATAGAAAAAAGAGGAAAGAAGCAGAAAAAGAAATGGGTAGTGTTCTTTAAATTGGATTGAGCTTAACTTAACTCTAAAAACTAGCTCATGAACTGAGGAATTCCCAAGACATCATACTAATTTACTAAACTTTACTTTTCCCATATCTGTAGTGATTGTTGAATCTCATTAGAGATATGCTTTTGCTTACACTAAATAGGGAATGCATAACCAAATATTTCCCATTATTTATTGAATTTTTTCCGTATTATTGTATCTCATCTTTATTATATATAAGAATGCTCGTGTGTACAAAACACACAATGACTAGTAATTCTTTCAACTGATATCAGAGTAATACCATCCTCCTTTGTCACTAATCCACGGTAGGGCTACACCTTTTTTCCCTAGACACTGACCCTGACTTCATCACTCTGATTTTCTCTGTCGGGTAAACAATACCAGGTGCTACATTTTGTTCACTACGTTGTACCCTTTGAGAATCTTTTGCTCTCCAGCAATTGCCACATTCTACAACTGTTCTTTTAGCTCTCGTATAGTTATTATGCCCTTGGAGTACTTTTTTTCTCTCTGTTAACCAACGCACTCTTGAATGTTTTTCTTGTTCTACAATACTTATTCCCTTAGAGCATTTTTCGGAGCATTTTTGTTGTTCGTCAGTCACCATGTCCTCAAAAAATAGTCTCTTTCTGGCAAGCAGCTGTCACACTCTCCGAGTTCTTGCTCTTCATCACCCACCGTGTCCTCCAAACGTATTTTTCTCTCCAACAGCCGCTGCATCCTTAGAGCTCTAACATGACCTTGCTATTGAAACTGCCCAACCACTACACTAGTTGACTCATGGCCAACCACCACCATGCATCACCAATTCCTCAACACATCATCTTCAAACACTTGCATCAAATTGATTTATGAAGGTTTATCATTATTGAATTTGTCGTGATAGGTTTGTTATTGTATATAGGAGAAGGAATAAATAAGTTGTGTGCCAGCTGTACCTGAACTATTTAAATAGTTTAGGGACAGTTTTGAGGGGAAGGGGAAAAACCTTTTAATTGAAATGAGGAGTGGGGTTCATAAGAACCAAGAAATACAGTTTTGAGGGGAAGGGGAAAAACCTTTTAATTGGAATGAGGAGAGTGGGGTTCATAAGAACCAAGAAATAACTAAATATCAAGTTTGTATTATTTGAGAAGATTATGCAGTAAAAGTTATTGAGCTGGTAGCTCTACAGTAACAAGGAAAAACCAGAGCACTAGACTCCTCCAGAGGATGACTCTCCTCCTAACCAACTCACCACTTTCTCACGGTACCCCTTCACACTCTCCCTTCTCTCTCCTATAACAGAATTTCTCATCCCTGGATTCTTAACACGTCATTCCCTATCCTAACTAACTTCTCACTATTTCTTTTCCTAACCCCACTTTCTTTCTTCTCACATAAACATTCCATATTTTGGGCCTATCTATTTCTTCTATAATTTTTCCTTGCTGAGTAACAGGCCCATGTGCACTTCCCACCTTATGATCCTTATTAAGAGTCCTATCAGGGGTGCTAAAGAATCCATTTTAAAATTTCGATTGCTTTAACATAGACAGACACAGCTGAAAATGACATAGAACAATTCGAGCAATATACGGGGCTTCTAAAAGGATTTGAACAAAATTACTTGATTGGAATATTATTGAATGGACTCGAGGAACAAGTTAAGTCGGAAGTGAAGTTACATGATCCGTCAAATCTGGCAGAATTGATGATGAAAGCTCAAATGATTAAGTAAAGTTCGTATTTGGCAGGGGAAAAGGGGAGTCGGTGGAAGCTGTGAATTCTCTCAATAAAACTCAAGGAATCAACAGCAACGGAGGAGTCGCATTTTGAAAATAATCAGATAAGGAAATGCAAGATAAAATTAGGAAAGGATTGTGCTTCATGATGAGAAATTAAAACCTAATCATGTGTGTAGAAATAAGCAATTACACATGTTAAAAACAGAGGAAGATTTATCAAGTTATGACAAATTAGTGAATTGTAAAGGAGACACGGAGGAGGATGTTGAAGAAGATAAAGCTTTGCAACTATCCATGTTTACTATGGTAGGATTGGAGATGTAGAGGTTTTAGTCCGATTAGATTGTGGGACATCTCACAATTTCATCTCCCAAGAAGTCGTGAATAGATGTGGGTTAGAGGCTAAAGAGACTCATCCTTATGTGGTGGAGGTAGGAGACGGTCACAAGGTGCATTGTCAAGGAAAATGCATGGGATTTGTTTTGGAGTTACAAGGGTTGGACATTCAATAGGAATTCTTCATCTTTTATCTAGGAGGAGCAAGTGTGATCTTGGGATTAGAATGGCTGGCCAGGTTAGGAGAGGTTAAGGCAGATTTTGGGAAACTAAAATTGACCATTGGAAGAGGTGAGTGACAACAGATGGTTATAGGAGATTCCGCGTTATCTACCACATCAACATCACTGAAAAGATTAACTGAATTACCTCCTAACGAGACACAGGATCATGCTATTCATTTAAAAGAAGGAGCTTCCATTCTGAATCTGAGGTCATACAAATACTCACATCTTCAAAAGAATGAAAATGAAAAGTAGGTCCTTGATATGTTGAAAGCAGGAATCACTAGACCTAGTATTACCCCCTATTCTAGCTAAAAAAAGGATGGTGGGTGGCAATTTTGTGTGGATTACAAGGCCCTTTGAGTTTTTAGTAATGCCTTTTGAGTTGACTAATGCCCCGGTCACTTTTCAATCCTTGATGAATGAGATTCTTCGACCTTTCTTGAGGAAGTATGTGTTAGTTTTTTTTTATATTTTACTTTATAGTGGCACTATTGAACTACATGTCCAACATTTAACACATGTTCTCTAAGTGATTAAAGAGAATAATTTGACGATCAATAAAAAGAAATGCATTTTTGGTTAGCGTAGTTTGGAATATTTGGGTTATCATATCTGGCCTAGGCATATCTACTGACCCGAAGAAAGTGGAGGCAATGTGGAAGTGGCCTACTCCGAAAGACGCAACAGCCTTGAGAGGATTCCTAGGTCTCAGCTATTATCAATACTTTGTGAAGGGATATGGCAAAATTGCCAAACCATTTACACAATTATTAAAAAAATAAGGTTTTAGTTGGACGGGGGATGCTCAAGAAGCTTCTAACACCCTAAAAGCGGCTATTTCTCAACTTCCAATTCTAGCAGAACCAGATTTCTCCAAACCTTTAAATGTGGACACGAATGCCTTTAGTCAAGGATTGGGGGCTGTTTGTCAGCTCCAGTCACCGACTAACTAACATGCTTGCTAAGTCTCTTCATGGGTCTAGAATTAATGACATTTGTAAGTTTGACTCATGATACATTATTAAATAGGGAGATATGATAGGATTTGATGGGGGAAACCAATAAGCAGCTGCAATGGCCACAGTTATGCTTCAAGACTTGTTATAAATCTTCAATTAACAGAAATCCCATCAAGGCATTTACAGCAAAGAAACAACAGTATATAAGTGGATAAATAATATTCATGTGGGATGTGATATTGGAAGAGTTGAAACTGGATTTAGTTAAGGAGAGAAAAATGAAGTTGCAAGCAGATAACATGAGGGAATTCAAATTTCAAGTTAGGAACTTGGAGAACTTCAAAGCACAACTATATAAACTAAAATTGTAAGTAAAATGAGTTGACGAAAAACTACAACCTCCATTGCAGTTCAGAAAAAGGTGGGTCCAAAGACATAAAGTTTGACATCACTTTCTACTGCATGAATGCATCCTGTTCTCCATGTCTTGCACCTGAAGTTACCATGTTGGCTCTCGTAGCAACTATACCATGCCAGCACCTTCTCAATTTTTTAATAGAAGAATGGGAACTGCAAGTAGTTCTAGAAGCAATTTTTTTGTGCGTAAATTACTAAACTATGTTTAGAATGAAGTTGGAAAGCACTTTTGCAAATTTCAATGCACAACATAAAAGAGAAATTTTATATCTTTGGAAGTCAAAATACTTTTGAGCTCTCCCAACTAAAATTCAAACAAATCTTGCTAAATAATTGCTTTATGTAATGCTTGTGCACATGAATTTATATTTATTTCTGTTTCAGTTTCGTAAGAAAAGTCATAGTAGTGATTGACATTTTTACTTAGGAGTAAATCAGTCGGTGCTACTTCTACTTGAGGAACAAGTCTGCCAAATACTGAAAACTATATCTTTAAATTTGTATTTTGCTTTTTCAATCCTTATCAATGTCAACGTTGCTGATAAAAAAGTATTAGAGATTCCTTGCTTTGAGCTCAAGATATTCCAAAGTATTTTGCTTCCCCTTCTTTCCTATCGCATATTTCTGTCATAATTCCAGCCAAAGTTATCAAACTCTCGACTTAACGTTTAACCTCTTACGAGTTTACCATCCTAGATAGAGAAAACAAGTTACCTCACTATCAAGCTCTTTTCTGAATACACCTGGGTAAACTTTTTAAACTTGTGGTAAACTCACACAAACTATGGAATCAAGAAGCAAGTTAACAAGTTTGAAATCAAATGTATGTTTTGTCCAACTTTTACCCAACAATGACAATATTTTATTACATTCAAACAACTTGGAGAAGTTAAATCCTTTTTGAATTGTTTTAACATTAAGAACTTACAACTTTTAAGATATTATAAATGATTTAATCTCCCAAGTAGTTTAATCTTATTTAGCACTAATGTGCTATCATAGTTTATTATTGTGATTTTGCTCCTTCTTTTTATTATGATGTGGAATTATTGAGCTTTAGTTGCATTAAGAGTATTATATTATGCATATATGTCATTAATCGATTTTTAATATTATTTTTACATAGATAAACTCTTACAAGTTCAAAAATTGAATATTCAAGTCAAGTTTAAAAAGGTCCATACGTTTGTGCAATCTCATTTATGATTTGTTGTTGCATGATTCCAGCCTAACATCCTAAATTCTAGAAGTATTTTGTTGCATTTTATTCATTGCGCAAGTGAAATGCACCTCAAAAAAGCTACAAAAAATATTTTTATATATGTCATGCACAAGCAATTTTGGTCTTAAGTACAAGAAGATTAAAAATTTCAAGTTAATTGGTTTCTCTAACACTGACTGGGGTAGCTCAATTGATGATATGAGAAGTGCTTCAAGATAATATTTGGCTTTAGATCGTGTTTTTCTCATGGAACTTGAAAAACTAAGAAATTGTTGCTCAATCTATAGCAGAAACTGAAATTGCTGTTGTTACCACTGTTTTCCAACATATTCAGCTTCCCCTTCTTCCCTGACTTATTTCATAATTCGAACAAAGCTTCTGGATCATGGAAGTACTCAAGAGAACTTTCAAGATATCCACAGGTGGTTACCATATTTTCCCCAGGGGGAAAGGTCAAACTGATTGGGGTGGGATCGATGGGCTACTGACCCAATATATAGGAGAGAAAAGAACCAGGAAAGTGAGCATACCAGTAGCAGTAAGACCTCTTGGTGTATGAGTGAAGAGGAGCAAAGGCACAACAAAGGAAAATTGACAAAAAAAGTAAAGAAGTGGAGGAATCAGGAGGAACCTGGAAAAGAAAGGGAAATTCTTAATAGAATGAACAGCTGACAAAAAGAAGATTGGGGTTCACAATTGGAGAACCACAAATGTAATTATGAATGAAATCATGGGAAGGGATAAAATATGATAGGGTATCTGAGCTTTTTTTTGTATTGAAGAAAGCCTATGCCTAAGGAGGAATGTCATCTAAGTTGAATTTTATCTAGAATTTAATTTCTATAGATTGTATACCACGACTCTATAAAAAAAAGAAATGACACCGTGAAAACAAAGTGAATGAGCATGATATTAATGATGGTCATGTTGGTAAGTAGGTTTTCTTTCTTTTTATGGACAATCCAATCAAGTTGCATTCCCATGCTTAATTTCCTCGAACCAAAATAAATGGAATAGAATTAGCAGCAATACTAGTATCATCATTAAAATGTGGACAAATAAATATGTAAAGAATCAAAGAAATAAATGCTTACGGAACCACGCCAGTCTGCACGAAGGACAGTTCCAAATGACCCTGAAAAACAATTATCATTGTCCTTATTTCATTGTTTCAGGATACATATTCTCTTAAATAAATGATAGCTTTCACAGAATCAGTATATTTTTAGTGTATGCATCATGTGAGAATTAAAATATAAAACCTGTCCCAATGTTCTCCTTCAAAATAAGTTCACTCCAAGGAATATCCAGATCCTCCTCGTCAAGATCAACTTCATGACTTGGATAATCCAAGACTGTCTGGTCTACTTCATTGAAATACGCATACTCCTCTGCACCAGGAACTGCATAAGAATATCAAATGTGGAGAATCCAATACCACTACAAATAAAAAATAGAGCATTTTGAGCTTCAGTATTAAAAACCTATTTGCTAGTATATATATCAGTCAGTCCTTGTCATGTATGAAGTGCTCTTTTTGAGAAAGGCATGATTCCACTATTTCTCTACTTTTCGTATGGGACAAGAAAAACAGTTCATTCTTACTCAAAGCAATCAGATGGCTGTTTCCACCGGCATAATTTGCACCCAAAGCTTCGGTTCGCTGCAGATCCATTGTGTCACTGTGATTAACAGCAGGTCCTGTAATGATGGAAACTAGTAATTTTAAAACTGTATGAACATGTGGACAGAAACCATGTTAATCTCTAATACTCGTTATACAACTTTTATGTCCTGAAATCATGATTATACTATTTCCTCCTTAACCACAAACTACAAACTATCATACACTATATAGTAACAGTCCCACATTGACTATAATGTAAAACTATTATGGCAGATTTCTAGTAAAACATGTTTTTGGAAAGTAATTATTCAATTTAGTCAATATATTTTAATGTTGTATACAATCCCAACTAGGTTGGCACCCCACAGCTTCAACAATCATGTGCTTCTAGAGGAAAATCCACGAAAAGGAAAAAAAAAAAAAGCCACATGCAAATGGCCTAATTACTTTGCTCTCAATGTTTCACGTAAAACCAAAGGTAAAATTCAGTTAAGGTTAAAAAATTCAGCAATGTAACTGTAGAAGCAAAGGTAATCAAAAGAAGGAAGAGTTAGTAATTTTCAGTATAAAGACAAATAACTTTTTCATTTCAAGACTAGTTCCACATCATAAATATATTCTTTCAATATCTAGTGTGCAAAGATAATAACCTGATGTAGTATCAAATACAAGATGCAGTGCTTGACTGTCCAAGAAATACAATTGAGCAAGTGTCTTTGTATATTCAGCTGTTTCAACTGGCTTGAACTTTGGATGACATAATGGTGAAGCAACCAACATTGAAGAAGCAGAATTCAGAAAAGAATCAGGTTGACATGTTGCCCCAGGCCTTCCAATTAAATCAATCATATACTCCCTAGAGAAGTGCATACGATATTTCTATGTTAATTGAGCTTGCTTTTGGTTCAGCTAATAAAACCATGCCATACACATTTTATATGTAATAAGAAAAAGTAAAACAATGAAACACATTGGTTAAAAAGAAGATTCCCTCCGATTACCCTGATATTTAATTAAGACCAAAAAACAAACCATAGTAAAATACCATTGAACTGATGTATCAGAAATATTAGTTTCCAACCCCTGACCAAAATTCATAAACACGACCTTCCTTCACATAGTTTGCAGATAAGTTCAGTCCCCCATTTGAAAATGCATTATATAATACTAGATTTTTGGTGGAATAGAAAATATTACTAGGTTTTTGTTAGTGTTTCTCTAATTTCTTTAAGAGTCCACAGTGGAGCTATTCAATTTATAGGAGAGAAAACACAATTACAAAATATTCAGTTGTGCTATTTTAGGCTAATAACACAATATAAAATCAATCTTGATCGTAATATCATCATTTATCATATCTTTAAGATTATAACATATCTACAAGATTTTAATATTCCCCCTTCAAACTAAAGCACATAAGTCGTGTGGACCAAGTTTCTTACATATGTAGTTCATCCAGGAGCCATTACTGACTTAGTGTATATATCTTTAAGTTGATCATGAAATTAACAAAGGTAGTAGATATTTTCTCAAACATGACTTTCTCTTTGACAAAGTGACAATGGACTTTATCATTTCATGGAATAATGTATTTGAGGCAACATGCATGGTGGTCTGATTATCACATATATAAGTGATAATTGTAAAATCTCCCAAACTTTAGTTCCTGAAGCAGGTTTTTAACCATATATCTACAATTGTAGCTCAATACTCTGAACCTGGCTACAAAATTTTCTTCTTGCTTTTCCAAGAGACAAAGTTATCTTCCACAAATATACAAAAGCTAGAGTGGACCTTCTGTTAGGACCTGGCGAGTTTACGAGAGACGAAGATATAGGAAGGAGAGAGAAGGGGACCGTACGGAAGAAGACAATGGCCAAACGGTTGAAAGGGAGGAGCTTGATGGCCGAACGACAAGGGGAAGAGAAAGAGAGCTGAGCGAGCGGGACGAGGACGAGCGTCTTGAGCGAGTGGAAGCAACGAGGGGCGAGGACGAGCGTCCTGAGCGAGTGGAAGCAACGAGGGGCGAGGACGAGCGTCCTGAGCGAGTGGAAGTAACGAGGGGCGAGGACGAGCGTCCTGAGCGAGTGGAAGCAACAAGGGCTGAACGAGCAAGGGACGAGCGGCCTGAGCGAGGACGAGCGTCGAACTGACAACAGAAGGATATTATAGAAGGAAATATAATAAATACGCATAAATATAATAAATAAGGATAGATATATTCTTACCAGATAATTATAATAAATACGCATAAATATAATAAATAAGAATAGATATATTCTTACCAGATAATTATAATAAATAATTATTATTATTATTCTCGGCCCGTTTGGGAAGGAGTAATTAGTATTAATAGAGGAGGAACCTAGGGTTAAAGTTATGCTTTTGATTTGTGAGTTTTGTAAGAGAGGTTATGCTCTCAGGTAACTGACGGAGATCCTGCTCCCAGTTATTGTTTGGCTTTCTTGATCCAGTATTCTTATTTAATAAAAGAGGTTCATTCAGCTATTGTTTTCATTGTCCATTGCCTGTGAGAGTGTGTGAAGAGAGCGTTCTAGTTACATTCCAGACTCAGGCACGTAACACCTTCTATCAATGAGGGAGCCTGGCAAGTCCATATTAGAATACCCCACAACTCAAGTGTGTCCTCTAGCTTCATACAAAATACCCTTTCTTGGAACTCCTTTGATGTATCTAACAATGTAAGTCACGCAGTCTCAATGTTCCTTACATGGAGAGTTGAAAAATTGACTTACTACACACTTCTTATGAATGACATATTTGGACAGGTAATATAGTATGACAGTTCAACTTCCCTATCGATTGTATTTGTATGTACCTTTTGGGATCTAGAAGAGGCTCCCCTCGGACATAGCAGGATTTTGGCGATGGGATACAATGGAGTGTCAATGATCTTGGAATTAAACATTCTTGTTTATTCCAAAATATCCACTGCTTTCCTTTGGGATATGATCCCCATTTTGGATTATGTTAGCTCTATCCCCAAGAAATATTTTAGTTTGCCAAGATCCTCCATTTGAAAATCATTTGAAACATAGTGGTCAACCTCACTTTGAGTCATACCAAGTTGTTGAATCAAAGTACTAAATCTATTGAACCATGCTATAGGTGATTTCTTGAGGCTATATAAGGATTTCGTAAGCAACATACAAAACTAGAAGACTCCCACTAAGGAACAAATCAAGGAAGTTGCTTCATGTAGACTTCCTCAAGTAGATAACCATGTAGAAAAAAATTCTTTATGTTCAACTAACAGATAGACCAACGACAAATTATAGCAATGATAGGAATAGTTGTGCAGAAGCCATTTTGGTATCCAAAGGAAAGGTATCCCATAATCCAGCCCAAATATCTATGTATAGCCTTTTGCAACAAGACAAACCCTAAGCCAATCAACCTTATCATCTAGACCAACTTTGACCATAAATACCCATTGACAACCAACAACAAACTTCCCTGGTCGTAGAGGAACAAGGTTCTAAGTATCACTACTCTATAATGTACGTATCTTGTCTATCATAGCTTATTTCCATCAAAGATGGGCAAAGGCTTCACCTACATTCTTAGACAAAACAAAGGGTAACGAACAAAGACAATTATGGTAGTAAGGAACAAAGGCAATTTTGGTATCCAACCAATGTATACGCACTAATCATTGTGAGATAATTGCTTTTAGTAATGGATACCCACTTTTAAACATCAAGTGATCAAAATAAAGTTCTTAGAAAGAGAAATATTAATCATTGAAGAACTGTTTAGAATTAATTTTATATATTTATATTTTTTTATTTATATGAAATTGAAGTTCTTTTTAAAAAGATTAATTTTTTAAAACTTATACTTTGTGATGCAACCTATTTAAATTTGTTTTTTAGAAAGACCAAGCTTTTGCATTAATATTTTATTGTGCAATTTTATTTGAATTGTACTTTAAAATTATTTTTTTATCTAAGTTTATATTTTAAAGAATTATTTTTAAAAAAAATTATTTAAAACAATAAAAACGAAAAATATCTGCAGTTTAAAGTTCAATATTTGGGAAGAAAGTAGTTTAAAGTTCAAACTTTACCAATAAAATTTTCTTCAAATAGTACCTTTAAAATTCATCACTGCATGATTTTCATTCTTTAATCACAGCTAATAAAAGGATTTCAACCTTCAATTATCCCGAAAACACGAACACATATTAGGAAAGGCAACAGTAAGCACTCCACGTCATAGACAAGAAAAAGCCATCATTCCTTTACACTAGAGGAAAATTGTCTTTTGATTAAGTACTTTTATTTTTTATGTTTTAAAAAATATTTTTATAACATTAAAAAAATAATGATTAATGATAAACATTTGCTTTTAAAAAGATTAAAAAGTTTTAAAAAATGGGATAAATTTAATATTTTAAATTATGGTAAAAAAAATTATACAATCTATTATAACAGAAACTTTTTCTGCACTTCTTTCTATCCATCCAATGACATTTTTTCTACACTATTTCCTTTCCCATTGAAATCACTCGAATTTGTTTTTCTCATCCTCCTTATTTAACTTCTCAACCAAATAAAGTTCAAATCCTTCCTCTCTTATTGCTTTTCTTTCCTACCTATTTAACTTTTCAACCAAATGAAACGTAATTTGTAAATAGAAAATGGAAAAATATAAATTTTAATGTATATTTCCTTATTGAGTCCTACTTCTTAATTCAAAAGCAGCTAAGTTTGACAAAAAAAAAATCTCAAACACCCATCTTTACTTTTTCTACCATTTCTTACCTACCTCTCAATGATGCAAATAATTAAAAAATATATATTCATTATCAAATTTACCATTTGTAAATTTAATTACTTAATTAATGCAACAAACCTGTCAGAACCAAATTGAACTATGCATGACGCTCCCACATCATTTCTGCAATACTTGCAGCCCTTTGCAATACGGCATGGTAGATTGATTAAGTCAGCCAACACCTACAATTTAAATTGTTATATAACATTCAAAAATCAAATTTCACTGGTATGTAAAATAAAGAATATTCTCTGTAAGAAACTCCCAGTTGTCTGCTTTACGATGGAACAATGAAAATAAAAAAATAAAGAAATACAGGTATGTTAATCTAAGAGATATTGATGTAAAAATAATGTAACCAGAAAATCAATATAAACAAAGCATTAAATAATGAATTATACTTTAAACAGCAACGCTCGATGGACACAAAGGCCAATGGGTAAGCTTCCAATTGGAAGAATGACAGAGTGCATGCAGCTTTTAAGAAGTTGGGTGCATTCCTTCCAGCGTATAACTAAATTTTCCTCAGTTAAAGACCCTCCCCTTTAAAAAACAATCAAAACTCATTAGGAAGATGTAGTTGTGACTTTCCAAAACAATTCTTTTTTATTTCTTCAAAAATTAAAGGCAATTTACTGACCCCATCCTATTGCAAATAAGACTTGCAAGCTGATCAGTTGCATCTTTAGTGGTAATCCAGTTATTTGAAAGACTTGCAACCCTGTTTTGCAGTTCTCTCAAACCAGGATCTCTAGATTTATCAACAGCAACCACAACAATTGATGAGTCGTCACTGGGTTCAACTGACATGAGTGATTCAAATGATGGAATAATACCAACATTCTGCAAATCAGTACTTAGAGTCCATGTATATGCATCCATCCCATGGATTAAGTAAAAGCCATCTAAAATTTTGTCAGAGTATTGCAAACAACCATCCACCTGACAAATAAGAAAGCATATGGACACTCAATATCTTTACAGTGGAAGAAAGGTTTAATGCTTAAACACAGAACATGTACACATGACAAGTATAGTTTCATGTATTAAGCATTCAATTTAAAGGTGCATGGATGATTCAATTTACTTTACACTATCAAAACCCAGATTACTCACTCAACTAAGCTGATCTGAATTGATAAATGGTATAATCTCACATGTAAGAAATGAACTGAATAGAGACAAACTTGTCAAATCAATTAAACTTGTTTGGGTAATTCTCCATAAGTATATTTAGAAGAAAATAAAATAAAATAAACTTTGCAATAATTATGTGATATGAAATGTGTCTTGAGATTGAGGATATTTTTGGAAATCAATTATTTCCTATAACTGAGATTGCAGATTTACAGTTATTTGGGTTGAACCAGCTGTATATAAATTACAACAACGTTTTATTAAACACAAAAAATACAATAGTCAATTTCTTACCCTATCCTCTCTTCTCTCCCTCACTTCCGGCCTTCGTTCTCCACTCTCTCTCTCTCCCTCTCCTTATCCCTCTCTATATTATGAACTCAGATACCTACCAATTTACTTAAATAATAATAATAATAATAAAATAAAAGTTGATCTTAGTCAAGTCAATTTAAAAATTATGATATCTTTTTCATCATATATTTGTAAATCCCGTGAATTTGGGTTTCTACATTAGTATTCCAAGTCAAGGTCTACAAAAACAAAACACAAAAATACATCCACTACATAACATAAAAATCCTAAATCCAAGTAATCAAATAATAGAAGCTTAAATCAATTTTAACATTAAAAAACCTAAACATTGTCATATACCCAGAAACGGTGTGATAACGTCTGAGTCGGAGAGGAAGAGTGATCGGACGAAGAAGAAGCATGAGAAGAGAGACGAAGCGCGAGTGCGAGCTGCAACTGGTAACTCTGCTCCGTTTGCTTGGCCAAGCTCTTGAAGGAACCTTGTTCTTCTTCATCGGCGCCAGAACTCATTCTGTTGCGTTCAGATTCAGATTCGGACTCAGCATCACTATACATTCCTCCTTTTATCAGAACTGGAATTCTCTATTCTAATGTCCAAACATGGAATAAACTTTCAGACCGAACTCAGAAAGGTGATTCCTCTTTCCTGAACAAACTGTTTTCCTTCTTATTCATTCTCCCCTTTTTTTATGTTAAGTAAATACCCTTTTTCAATAAATAACTTTTAAAATAAAAAGTATTACATTTGTGATATTATCACTGGCCATCCTTACAAAAGTGATTCCGTGTCACATATGACAGTTTTAAGGCACAGATGCTACATGATTTCAAATAAAGTTCTTCTTATCTCTAATATAAGGTATTGTGCATGTATGTTCTTTTTACCCTTCTCTCTTTATAAATATTATTAACATTTTGCAACTGTTACTTTTATGTATAATTTAATTTATCGTTACAAATATAATTATAAATATTATGTTTTGTGTGACTAATAATAATAAATATTATTTATATTATTCTTTATTATAAACTATATCTTCAAGATATTATAAATAATTTGTTTTATATTAAACAGTTAACCATGTTATTTATAAAAAAAATTTATGATTAAATATACTTTATATTTATTAATATTTAAAATAAAAATTATAGACCTAATTCTCACCATATTAAATACTGGTAGTATATAACCATTAATAAGTTTTGAGATTAATTTCACTTTCATAATAAAAAATATATAATCAATTTTTAAGAAAAATATGATTATAAAGGTAAAATAAATTATGACATAATTTTATGAATTTTATTTTAATAGTTTAAGATATATTTTATGAATAATAATAATCATAAAAATAATAATAAATAGTATAATATATATATATATATATATATATATATATTAAATGGAAGTTGATCAACAGATCAACAATTCTCCTAACAAACAACATTAATATAAAATAATAAAAAAGTATTGATTAAAATAATATTAAAAAGAGTTTGAATAAAGATCGGAAAGTATTATTAAAAATAATCTTAATACATAAAATAAAACATAATAATATGTTATTTTCTTCCAATACATAATCAATATCAAAGGATGAAGTCGCACTCAAAAGGATATAAATTTTAGGCTCAATATTATTGTTGGTCTCAATTTTTAAGTTAAAAATGTTTATAATGTTGGGACTTGTTGCATAATTCTCTTTATCAATTTAATTATGAATTTCAACATTCAGATTTTATTGATCAATTTGCAATTGATCTTAATCACCCTATTATATGGATTTCTTTCACATCATTCTGAACTTGATTTGTTTGATCAATCTAATGCTCATTTCATGCTTTGACTTTTTACTTGTCTAGTCATCCTTTCAATTAGATCATTTAACGGGTTTCCAACATCTAATACTAACATTTACACTTAACATTATATAATGGGATGTAAGAAAACATAATTCCTCATACCTCGCATGAAGAAAAAATGGATAAGGTTACACATTGTCAATTAACTAATAAATTGAGATGATCCCAATTTATGTAGTGTCCAACATGATCATTCTACTAACGAAAAAGCAAATCATTGATGATAATCTATATTTTAAGAAATATTCTCTCATGTTAGGTTTCATCCAATCATACTCGAAACATATAGGTTTTCACTTGCTTCACCGTAAGGTCCTTTATTAAGCCATTTCCATTACCATAACAAAAATAGGACAACATTAAGTGAGTTGATATAAAAGTATATTCTTTACAACTAGTCAATAATGATCTACATATTTATAGGAAAAAAGGGTAAACATATTAATTGTCACAATGATCTACATTTACTTGATCTCTTTGACCTATAGGTCACAAACTAAATTATTTTCACTTTTTTATGGCAATCATTGTAATTATTAAAAATAACACATATATCTTGAATGACAAAACTTTGTCATTCCAATCACTCCTTAAACTTGAGAGATCAATGCATTATAGTCATCTCGGCCAATGATATGAGAATTTTATTTCAAAGCATTTCTATCCTTCATCATTCTTTACTCTTTGTCATTCTAACCACTCGTCAATGTACGAATGACACTTAGGTGATCTCAGCCAAATACATAAATCTTTTCTTTCAAAGCATGTTGACCCTTTATCTTTCTCAACCTTTTGACATTTGAATTACGGTTGAACTTGGGAAGCCAATGTACAAATGACACCAAAAGGCTAAATCATAGACATGAAAAGCTTCTCTCAAAGTCTTTCAACACACTAATACCTTTTAGTATAAGGGGCCAATGTGTTATTTGCATCCAAGATGATGTTTATTAACAAAAAGACATTATGTTGGAATAATTAAGGGTAGACAAAATTAATTGAACTGCATTGAATTGTTAAAACTTGCAATGAACCAAAAAAACAGTTCAGACGAATTGAAGTGAACAATTGTTTGTTGTATCAAACTGCGTTGCACTGAATTCCAATAAACTGTAATATGAATTGAATTGAACTGTTATGTACTTTAACTTGTTTCTACACACTATTTTCGAACCGAATTGCACTATTTTTGAACCAAATTGCATTAGTTTTGAACCAAACTACACCAATTTTGAACCAAACTACACTATTATTTAATGAAACTGTTTGTGAATTGTTTTTAAATTGTTTAACTGAATTTTCAACTAAAAATTGCTTTTCAATTAAGAACCTGAAAAAGGTAGTATTTACCCACTTCATTTATAATATAGGTTCCTCATAAACAAAAAAAAAAAGACATAAAACTAAGTAGATAGGAAAGATTTATCTCTACTCAAGAACATAAGTTCTCCCATAAACAACAAAATACTAAAAATCAATACATCTTCAAATATAAGTTGCATTATAAAATATAACTTATTAATGTATCTTCAATCATCCAAATTTATAGCACTTTAAGGTCTCACTTCATCTTGAAAGGTTATCTCTACAAAAAAAAAATGATTATTTCTTAAAACATAAAATATAAACTAATAGATATATAAATTTTTCATATAAATTCACATTGCTCAAATTTATCAAGCTCTTTAGGATCCTCACCAAAACGTATTGAGAAAGGTGTTCCTTTTAACCAATATTATGTGTAAACAAGTACTTACACTATTTTAGGCGTTTGACAGTTATGATAAGGACTAACCACTCTTCCTCCTATATTGAATTCACATTATGATGCTACGATAAATATGGGAATGGTTAACACATCTCGAGTCATGTTCGCAAGGATAGAAATTTCAGTTAAGTTGACTTTTCACTAATGTAAAATATCAAGTTCAAATGACTTTGTATAAAGCTCAAGATCCTCTCTCAAATATTTATCAAACTCTTATATATAAACAAATTTATGTTCTGTAGCTCTTAGGTTGAAACTTATGTCATAAGGATCATCATCTTCATTATCTAGTTGAGATTATTGTTGACTACTTTAGAACCCTCCTCAACACCTTGATAGTTTTGATTAAATATTTTTAAAAATGAAAATGATTTTATATTTCGATTCACTGATCATACTAGGTTCAAATATATAGTCAATGAAGAAATTAAAAAAATCCAACTTACTTTTAGGGTCGCACACTATAATAATCAATAATTAGATTCAATTCCATTAGAATTTTTCCAGTATTTGTCATACTTACCATTCATCCTCATTACCATCCATCTTATGCTTACATCATTACTCTTAGAATATTGTCGAATCTTTTTACTAATTTTAAAGACATATTTCATATACATATGACTAGTGACACAAAAAGAATCATAAATATTGGTAAAGTCATAAAACATCTTTAAAAATGGTAAAACATACCTCACATATTCTCAGTCTTCTTCTAATGACACACCATCATTACTTTTGGTCATTTCAATACCAAATTTATTATCTTACGTATATAGTAAGACAAAGGCATCTTTGTACTTTAAGTTTGCCTCTAACATTAAGTAAGTTGAACTCCACATGATTTCAACATCAAGACAAACAATACATTTATAAGAAATTTCCTTTCGTTCAACATATGCCTTGAATTTTGTAAATCTATCTAGAAAAGATTTCATATATTTAATTGCACTCTGAATTTTTGAAATTGAATCTTTGATCTTTTTTAAGCCATCTTTCAAAATCAAACTTAATATATAAGCACAACAACACATATGAACATATTATGCCTTTAAGATAAGATAGTTTCATGATAACATTCTTCTTTTGAGGTATTGGACCCAACATCATTTGTTGTAGAATTATCCACATTAATACTAAAGATTTGCTTCAACTCCCAATTATTTAAAAAAGGATCAACAAGTTTAGCAATGAGCTCCCCTGAATGTCTCGTTGTTTGAGAAAAATTCAAAATTTTCTTTTGAAGTTTTCAATCATTATCAATAAAGTGAGTTGTTAAACTCATGCAGATTAGGTTTTCGATTCAAGTTCATGTGTGTGTAGTTAAGTAAACCTTCTCACACTACATTGATAGAAAAAATTTTACTTTCTTTTTTCCTCTTTATAGAGTTCCCACATTTTACACCTCAATGTAGTGGGATGAGACTTCAAATCGTGGTTGCAAGGACCATACAAAGTCATGAAAATCCTCATTTTCCACAAATTGAAAAGGAAGCTCGAACTTCACAAATATTTTCACCAACTTCATTCGAGATTCATTTTGGTCAAATGTATAAATAGTTGTTCGTGAAGGGCCAACACTATCCCCTTTTGTAGTTGATGATGAGCCTTTTTTCCTTTTGAATGTTTCTATACTAGGATTTTCTTTACATCTTGTTAAATGATTCCTCGTCCCATTTGTTTCAACCAAAAATTTAATCAAATCATCACAGTAGTTACATTTAATCTTTTTCTCAGAATAAGGCTTTTATTTTGTATAATGTCCCCACACATCTAAGTAACCTTTACTATTTTTAGTTGATGATGTATTAATATAAGAGGTAAATGATCAATTCCAAAAGTAACTAGTGTGATAGTTTCTACATTTTTTGGGAATGTAAAATTCACTTGATAACAACAAAGGACTAATCAGTTTCTAATCCAACTAAGGATTAAAGTACCCATTGATAAGAGACATGTATTGGAATGAGTTGCATTTTGGAAAATAAAGAAGGTAATACTATATTATAGGTAATATCTAATTTGTTAAAGCCTAAAAGTTACCTCATGTTCTTTAGTT